GGGGGTCAAACCCCTACCCCGGCTTTGCCCCCGGGGGGCCCCGCCTGACAACCCTGCCGCACATATCGTTTGAGGGACTGAATCGGGATCAGATCCAGAGGGTACCGCCCGATACAAGGGAGTTTGCAATACAGCACGAGAAAGAGATAGCTACCATCGTAGAGAACCTCAGGAAGGCCCAGCACAAGATGATAGAACAAGCCAACAAACACCGTCGCCCATCACAGTTCCAAGTAGGCGACTTAGTCTGGGTAAAGTCATAGGAGTTTGCTCCTGAGGAGAACATCTCGCAGAAGCTATTGCATGCATACAGAGGACCGTGGCCAGTCCTAGAAGTCAAGGGTGGAGAAGATGGACCGTCCTATACAACAGAGATTCCAGCACACCTCCACACCTACCCAGTTTTCCATGCGTCAAAGTTGTTGCCTTGTAATACAAGTCAGCAGTTTCCATCGCGGAGATCCATGATCCCTCGGGACATGGATGGAAGGTACGACATTGACCGCATAGTAGGTGAAGATGTGTTTACAAGGGAGGTAGAGGTCGTCCACAGAAACAATATAAAGTCAGATTCTCCTTTCACGAACCAGAAGACGACCGCTGGTTCACACAAACAGAACTTCTAGAGACCGCTCCCAACGTAGTTCGAGCCTATGAGAGAGATAAGAAAGGTAAAGGTCCTGCCTTGGACTGAAATATTCTCGGAGGACCTCGAATTTAGGCCGGCGGGAGTGAAACGGTATTCACCTTTGCAGTAGTAGATGCAGATCACAGGGCTCGATCCCTAGACCTCGACCTTACGCGTGTACAGTATCGAGTTGAACCCTGTGTGTTTGATCCCGTGACCTGTGTTTTGGTAGCTGACTGCTGTCTGTCGTAGGTGTAAGTAGTTGTCAGGTTTCGATCCGTAGGTCTGTTGAGTAGGGGTCGCAGTTGTGTAGGGGTCATAGTCATTGCAATTCTGAAAGGTCAAGGTCGTAGCTGCTACAAGTCTGAAAGGTCAAGGTCGTAGCTGCTACCGTTCCGAAAGGCCAAGTCCACATACTTCAGAAAGGTCCGGAAGTGGCTTTTCGAGAGTTTTACACGTTGGGCCAGAGGCAAGTGGGCAAGTAGGCAGTCCAACTTTGTCGAGTCAGCGGTACCCAGTCCCAGCCGCACTTTGTCTAGTCAGCAAGTACCATGTGGGACTGTGTGCACCATGGGCCCGGTGGAAAGGGGCAGACCAGCGGCCAACAGAAGTATAAATCAAGAGGAAGCATCCAGCCAAGCATTCATTCTGTGTGAGCCATGCGGAAGCGCTGCTCGAGCGTCTTGTGTGAGATGGTCTGCAGATGCCCGAAGTCGAAGTGGGCTGCGAGGAAGATAGAGCAGCCATCGCTGCTTGTAGTGAGTGGTAGCCGGCGGCCATAGCTGCCATAGCTAGCGATAGGTAGTAGTGAGTGTTGGTGTGTGTGTGTATGATACAGAGTGAACGCGCGTGGGACATCCAGGGAGGTTCAGAGTCGAGTGTGTGTGAATAGTCGCCATGAATACAGAGTCGGGGAAGTGAAGTGTAGGCGCTCATGCCCCATAGCCAATTTGAAGCAAGTTTGCATCTGAACTGTGTTCTCGGCCTTAATATCTCTGAGCTTTGTGTGGGCGCCTGGCGCCAGTGTGAATGGTCATCTGTTTACATGCATGCGGGAAGAGTGAGAAAGCGAGTCTGATTGCAGAGAATTTGCGATTCCATTATCGGCCTTTGTATATATTTTCAATTTTTCACTCATTGACACTATGTTCTTTGGAAGCATCTATGAATGGAGGTCTCTTGTTTACATTGGGAGGCCAAAACCTTGCCTTTTGCATCTGGATTGTGAAGAGACACATTTGTTTCTGAAGAAATTCATCCCACATGAAGAGGTCATGGTGAAATCCCCTTGTGATCTAATCGCCTGCAGAATGGGAGACCAGAGCTCATATGTAAACAAAAATCTTCGAAGTAACCTGTACCAATGATTCCAGCAAAGCACATCAAGTTGATAAAGCGGGCACACACACACACACACACACACACACACACACACACGCGCGCGCGCGCGAGAGAGAGAGAGAGAGAGAGAGAGAGAGAGAGAGAGAGAGAGAGAGA